GAGCGCGCGGCTGCAGCGGAGCTGGGGCCAGGCGCCCCCTGGCGGCAGCTGGCTCGGCCGCCCCCCGGGAGAAGTTTTGGGACGCGGGCACTTGGTGTGCGCTTCCCCCGGAGTGGGCCCTGCCGCCCCCCGCGTCTGAAGCACGGTGCAAGGTGGGGCAGAGTTGCCCCTTCGCTGCTAACTTTGAAGCAGGTGGGGGAGAGAGAGAGAGAGGTGCTAGGAGCGAAAGCTCTGGGGAAGCTCTGCTAAGGCTAGAGGCACGGCCTGCTCGAGCGGTTGGGGTGGAGGGGGCCTGGAGAGGTCATGTAGGCGCCCCTGCCCCAGGCAGGATCATCCCTATCCAAACCATCCCATACAAATCCCTTGTTTAACTTTAATCCTGTGGGTTTGGCCCTGTGGGGCAGGTGACTGGGCCTGGGCTGGTCTGTGGGCACAATCGTGCATCACAATGTGGCCCCGCAGCCTGGTGCTGCCTCTGCCTGGCTCATCCCCAGCCATCATCGGCTCTGTGCCAGCCCGGCACAACAAGGACCCTTGCACCACTGCTGCCCAATGTAAATCGGGGCCCAAGCCCCCATATGGGGCCTGTCCAGCCCCCATGCACCAGGATTGCACTCAGTATCCCCTGAGTGCCTAGTTTAGTGATGGGGCCACGGACCATGGGGCTCCCCTCAGATCTGGGGGGAGCCTTGTGAGCCGGTTGACGTGGTGGCAGTGTGCCTGGCCTACAGGCTGGGGTTGAGCATGCCTGGTCTTACCTCACAGCAAAACTATACAGTCATCCTTGACACAACACCATAACCTGTCACAGGGAAAGCAGGGGGACGGCAGCAGCCAACATCCTGCTGCTGCAAAGGTAGTTAAAACATGTTCAGAGATCTCAGAAAGAGGGCCACACCCTGCATTACAGAGAAAGGCAAAAATCCCCATAGTCCATACCAGTCTGACCATCAATAAAATTCCTTCCTGACCCCAAATATGGCCCCCATTCTTCACCCCAATTCGGTATACCCTGAGCAGAGCGGCAAGACCCTCTAGCCAAGAACCAGGTTGAAATCCCAAAATGAGCACTGACACTCCCCAGTCAAAATCCCCAGCCATGGTTGCAGCCCACACCCAGTGCCTCTGGGGAAGGCTTAAAAAAAGTCCCTGACATATATAGCAGCAGTAGGGGAAAAATTCCCCTGCATGCAGCAACCACCCATGCCAAGAAGCAGAGGAAATACTTATCATAGAACACAGGCATAGCTATGTATAATATCATCCCTGACCACTGCCTGTCCCATCTCCCCTTGAACACCCAAAATGATAGAGATGCCACAATTTCTCTGGGTTCTTCATTCGACTGTTTTACTGTTCTAACAGTGAAGAAGTTTTTCCAGACATCCAATCTAAATCTACTCTGCTACAACTTCAAGTCGTGCAGGTCGTGTCCTACTCTTGGCAGCATGAATGACTTATGCTTTCCTAGGCTGGCGGGGCATGGCGTAGTGGCGGCAAATGAGGACCACCTGTAGGTGGCCGTGGAGACATCGGCAGCGAGGGAGGGCCGAGCCGGGACCACCTGCAGGCAGCCACAGTGATGTTGGTGGCAAGGCTAGACTGAGTGGGGACCACCCACAGGCAGCCACAGTTAGGGAGTGGTGAGCAGCGACTGCCTGCAGATGCCAGCGGCGCATCAGCAGCAGGCAATCTCAGGGGGGAGGGAAAGGCGGGGGGGCAGGGGAACGTGTCCCCCAGTGCTCCTACTACGTGTCACCTTTGCTTTGCAGCAAGAGAGAAAAGGTGCTTTCCCTTTTTTTTATGGCACCCCTTCAAGTATTTGAAGACTGCTGTAATGTTCCCTCTTAGTGTGTATTCAGATGAGCACAGTCGTGTGATATGTGGTGCCGCAAACACATTTTCACCACCACATACTACACAGTCTGGTGTTCTCCACACTGCAAGGACATGCTGCCTGTGCGTGTGCTGCTCCATTTTTTTTCCCATGGGTTTTTTTTTTTTTACCCCTTTTGCTAAATCCATGCTGGGTGCTCGCGATCAACTTTTCCTTCTCCAGATGCTTACAAATGGATTTCCTTAGGAGATGCTCCAATAACTTCCTGAATACTGAGGTGAAGCTAACTGGTCAATAGTTCCTTGGGTCATCCTTTTTGCCTTTTTAAAGAGGGGGACTAAACAGACCCAATTCCAGTCCTCTGGTACTTTGCCCATCTTCAGTGACTTTGTGGAGATCATTGCCAAAAGGTTCGTGATCCCCTTTGCCAGCTCCTTCAATAATGGGATGAACTTCATCAGGTCCTGCTGACTTGAATTCATTCAGACCCATCAAGAGCTCTGACTGCCTTCTTTGTTATCTCATCCCTCAGCTTGTCCCTTTCCTTATCCAAATAATCTTTATTGTGTCTAATTCCAGCTCAATTTTTTTGTGACGACTGAGAGAAAGTAGCTGTTGTGTAGCTCTGCCTTCTTTGCATCTTCTGTTAAGAGTTCCTTGGCTATTTAACAGTGGATCCACCGCTTCTTTGGTCTTTTCTGGACATGATACTTATGGAAACTCTTCTTGTCATCTTTAATTTCCCTGGCCAGGTGCAGCTGATTTTTTTTTCACTTTGCATTCCTAATTTTGTCCCTGCAGGTTCTTGCTGTTTCTTAGAATGCTTCCTCAGTGACCTGCTCAATTTTCCATTGCCTGTATGCTTTTCTTTTGTATTTGAAACATCCTAGAGCCTCCTTATGCAGCCACATTGGTCTCTTAAGATTTTTCTTGTGCTTCCACTGTGTCGAGACAGTTTCTTGTTGGGCTTCCAATACTATGCCCTTTAGAAGCTTCCAGCCCTCTTGGGCACCTTTATCCTTCAGCCTTTACTTCCCATGGCACCACGCCTATTAATCAGTTGAAATCCACCTTCTTGAATCAGTTGATATCCACCTTTTTGAAATCTAGCATCCTGGTTCTGGTGCCCATCTCAGGATCTGGAATTCCATTATAGCATGATTGCTTCCCTCTCATTACTTCACATCTTCCACCAAGTCTTCCCTATTGATCAGGAAAAAAATCCAGTATAGATGATCCCCTACTTGTAACCTCAGCCTTCTGGAACAGAAAATGTCAGTGTTTTTGACATACAAAGCAACACTACCACCTTTCTCCCAAACCTCTTTCCAAAACAGAATGTAGCCCCCAATGCTGACATTCCAGTCATAAGACCTGTCATGCCAGATCTCTGTGATACCAATCAGATCAAAGTTCCTGTCCCAGATTGTATTCCAGTTCATCTTGTTTGTTCTCCATACTTCTCACACACACACGTCTTCCTGAGTACCACCCCCCCCAGCATGCATGTGTCTTTTGTTGGAAAGACCTGCGACCCCCACAAACTGCTTGGTGTTGGCTGTGTCACCACATTTTTGTTCCAGATAGACTGATCCCAGAAACAGTCCAGGCTGAATCACAGTGATTAGCATGTAAGAAAAAGCAGGTGGTACGGGACAGTCTTCAATAAGTGAGTTGAAATGTGTAGGCTGGTGATAATGCCAATTAATGACCCCAGGTAAGAACAATGGTCACAGGTCATGACTCAGTGTCGCTGCTCCCTACTTGATGACCAAGAGATAGTTATCTTAGAGAAATGGGAGGAAATACAGAAATTTGAATCTGAACTGTATAAAACTCCTCCACGCAAAGGCATAGGTGAGAGAGTCTGGAACTTGCCTCAACTGTGAGGACACATTTTGAGCACCCTGAGTCCTCACCCGGTAGTATGTGTTCTCTGCTGCGTCTAAATGCTCTTGGTAATTTTGTCTGATTGCTACATCTCCCAATAAACTAGTATACAGTTCAAAGGAACCTGCTTTGCCTTGTTTTATACTTCTCTGGATAAATTAAAAGCCCCCAGAGTCATCCTAGGTATAACACTTTCCCCTCCGGAACATTTGCTTTGTTGCTGGAGGGTTTTGTTCACCATCCCCCATTTAACCTAGTTTAAAGCCCTCCTTACAAGATTGGCCAGACAGCACCTGATGGTGCTCTTTTCAGTTCTAGTAACATGGATCCCATCTTTTGACAGCAGCCTTCCTCCTTGGAATATCCACTAATAGCAAAGAATCTACAGTCTTCACACTGACACCACAATCTCAGTCACACGTTTATTTCCAGGATACAATGGTCCCTGCATGGGGCCTTGCCTTCCATGGGGAGGATTGCTGAGAACACCACTTGTTCTCCAAGTTCTTTTTAATTCTCCTGTCAGGAGCCTTGTAATCACCTCTGGTCTACTCAGTGTCATTCCTGGCAGTATCATTGGTGCCTACATGGACAAGCAGGGAGGCGTAATGATCTGAAGACTGGATGAGCTTTGGCGATCTTTGTGTGACATCCTAAAAATAAGGATCCGTGTAGACCGCACACATCCCAGGACCCCAAATCCAGATGACAAATAGGTGTCTCTGTTCCTGACCTATCACCATTACTACTTTCTTGCTGGTATAGTGGTCCTAGATCCCCTATTAATGGAGCCCTGCACTTCCAGCTCTCTAGACTGGAGAGTCCTTTGCATCATGCCTGCTAATATCATTTCCTCTGCTTTTTGCTCATCTCTTCCACCACAGAGTGCTTGAAAGCAGTTGCTGACTTCAGCCTGCTCCTCTTAAATTCTGGGGACCCTCCTTCAAGTAGTCATGTGCTGCTACCTCTCTTTTCCCTTTGGCTTCTCCAGTGCCAGTCTCTTATAACTCCTGGCTGAGTAATCTTCCTCTTCCTTGATATAAGGTACATTGGATACCCATGTTTCCAATCTTTTAGTCTTTTCTTTCAGGGCAGACAGCAACTTCCCCCTGGTGAAAGTGAAATGTTTTTGACCCTTTGGGTGGAACACAAACATTGTATATCCCATGCAGATCATAACTGCGGACCCAGCCTATGTTTGTGCCCCCTTTGCTCCCTGGAGGACACCTAGGTTGTAAACAAAACAGAAAAACAAAGAAAAAACACAAAACCCACATGCCAAACAACCATACCTGTGCTCTCATGCACACTCACATACACAGAGTCTCATACTCCCTGACTCATTCCTATGGCAAACTCCCTCTCTGTTCACTATGAACTGTTAGGGGCTGCCTAGCCTAGCTCCACCCCTCAGTTAGCTAACCCAGCCAACACAAAGCAAGCCCTATCAGTCACTCTAAAGGAGCCTATAACAGGGGGCCTTCTCGGGGCCATTCCGCCATTGGCTTGCCCACCCGTTTCTGGGCTAACTGCCCACCTCGCTCACCTGCCATACCTTGCTATTTCATAATTGGTTATAATTAGGTAGGAGGCTGCCCATTCCTGCCCTGATGCCACGGGGCACTATCTGTGGCTCCGATCCTCCCCTACATCGCAGCCCAAGTCTCGCAGATGGCATCCAGGTGACAAATACTGCTGGCCTACAGCCAGACTAAGCTTAGCTTTCATTGTCAGGCCTCACACACACACATTTATGCTAACCTCCTCTCACTAGGGCCTCTCAAGCTCCATCCCCTCTCACAGGGTCTCTTTCATGCATTGACAACTTATACCGCCTTGCTCCTTGGAGCAGGCTCTTTCGGCCCTAGGCTTTATCTAGTGCATGTCTTTTGGGCCTCTCCCACGACCCTCACTGGGGCAGTGGCCAGCCAGTTACCTGACCGGGGCCAAGCTTGCCCTGGCTCCTTCCAGGGCAACTCTACACAAAATCTCACACACACACCAGGCTCCCAGCCTTCTGGTTTCCCCTTCACTGGGACTCCACATCTTTACCCCCTCACTGGGGCTATGGAGCTTCTCTCCCTAGTGGGGGCTCAGGTGGTTGTAGCCATGCTTGACCCCAGGATCTTGAGGCACTCCCGGGTGTCTTGGCACCCTGGTTGAGAATCACTGTGACCATTCACAGTGCTGACAGGGCATTTGTTTTTTTATATTCCTCAATATAAAAATGCATTGTTGTCCCTGTCTATAGGAAGGGTATAAGTTTGACTGGGGGAATCTCCCTACTAATGATTGCTGGCAAGATTCTTGAGAGAATTAGACTCAAATGCTTCACTTGATACATAGCTGTGAAATTTTTGCCTGACACCTTATTGCCTTCAGGAAAGAATGAGGAATAATAGATAGGATCCTTGCTAGACTGCAAATACCAACATACTGACCTCTGTATTGTCCTTGTTGATCTTGCAAAAGAATGTCACCTCTCACCTGAAAAGGCTTATGGAAGTTGCTTAAGGTCGGCTGCCCTGACAAACTCCGTAGTGGTTGGACAAATTTATGATGTAATGGGCTGTATCCAGCTTCTCATCTTTGTGTCACAGATCTCTGCCATTGGTATAGTGGGTTCAAGAGCCCATTGGAGGTAGACACAGGGCAGTTGGAAAAAATCCCTGCAGCAGAGAAGAGGAGGCACCTGTGTCCAGGTAAAGGGCAGCTTTGAACTTGCACCTCCTAAGCCAACTAGCAGGCCCAGCATCATGAGGCAAGCCAACTGGGTTACCTTCTCTCTTAGATTCCTTGTGTAGGATGGCCTTTGAGGCCACACTAGCCCAAAACGGGAGGGGGGTGTGGAATGGCCACTCCTGACAAGGGCCCCTGCCCAGCCAGCAGAAGCTTCAGACACTCTTTAAACCATGTCCTTTGGTTTCCCAGGTCAACAACCAGATAAGGAGCCAACAAACAGTTTGGTAGGGGGACAGAGGGATAGGCAGGGGTACCATCTTCTTCTTTGATATACTTGTGGAGTCTTGCCACCTGAAAATGTAAACAAACAAACAAAAAAATACAGATCTTGGCCAGATCCAGCCACCCTTCCTCTGGGGCCTCCTAGGGCTCAGGTAGAAGCACAGGCAGGAATTGGGTTTGGTGCCAGAGGTTGGCCTGTCATGCCTCTTTGCATCCCAGAGCCCTGCCACTAGTGTAGAAGGCTCAGGGTGCAAAGCCCCATTGGAGTGATGCATGGGGCGGGGGAGAAACCCCTCTGTTTGCTGATGGCTGTTCCTTGGTTACCCATTCCCAGAATGCAAATCATTAGGGACCATTTTTTAGCTTCATGGAAAAGTTTTCAACTGACTTATTGCCTAAAAGTCAAAGGTTATATACCCACCTGTTCCTAGGTTAGCCCTGTGTACAACCATTCACAGTGCTGACAGGGCATTTGCTTCAAGCTGTAGATGAATGTATTCACTTAACTGAGCAAAGTTCACATCACTGATGAAGTTTCCAGCAAAATCACCAAAGGCAGGGAAGACATCAGAAAATTATGTGATTATCTTTGGGGTAGGAGTGGCATAACTTTTCAGGAAACACTGAAAGTCTACACAGTAGTAGTTCTAACTTCATTACTTTATTCTTGTGAATCATAGATAACCTATAGCTACAACATTTAGAAGCTGAATCATTTCCATTTAATGTGTCTGAAAAGGGTAAGGCAAATAGGATGAAAAGTTAGAATTCTGAAGTTCTCTGGCAAGCAGATATTTCACATATAGCTGCTGTGATTATGAAGGCATAATTAAGATGATCTGGGCTAATAATTGGCTCCTTAAGAAAATCTCTTATAGACATCTGCTTCTGGTACGTATTCACAGACTAGGAACTGGAAAAGATGAAGGACTATTTAAAAAGACCCTAAATCTATGGAATATTGACATGTGTCATGCTGTGGGTTCAGTTAACTGAGTCAGGAGCCACTTTAACAAAGAGGTTTCTTTATTCCTGCCAACAGCACCCAGACAGCCGTGACACTTCTTTCACCGCTCTCTCTCCAACTCTGCCTATCTCTTAAAGATATACAACCCTCATATCTCCCCTTTTCAAACAAAAAGCACAACTCATTTAAAGCAATAGCAATATATAGCAAATCTGTGAGGCATCACCTTAGTCTCTGCGTTGTCTTGATCAGTCTGTGCTGTAGTCTCTGCATTGTCTTTCTCACTTTCTCTATGCTCTAATCTTCATGTTGTTCTCTGGTTTGGACACTGTTCTTTCTCCTGTTCTTCCTTGATGTGCTGCAGGTGTTTCCTATTCCTTCTTATTCCTGTGGACATTTCCTTCACTTGTCTCTACTTCACTCAATTATGTTACTTCTCTAATACTAAACTTGCACTTTTGTCTATTAAGTTTTCACTCTGCTGACCAAGCCCTTTCCAGAGCTCTCTGAAGCCACTAGTCATGTTCTTCCAGTGTACATCCCTATATTAAAATATCATTTATATACACTTCGGCACCTTCAGTGCCATCAAATTTTTGTTGTATATACTTACTTCTGGTACTCACTTCTGGTACTAAACATCACCCAAAAGGCAATTTGAAAAAGCAGAATTTTCCATGTGGAGTGTTGAACCTGCATACGTCTGCTATTTTTCTCTAATAGAACCTGCCAGAACCCAGCTGATGCATCTAATGTGGAGAAATACTTTGATTGTGCCATGTCTTCCAAGATTTCTTCTCTGGTGGGAATGGGAAAACATTTCCTTTTTACATATTTATTAAGTTCTTTTGGGTCTATGCTAAGGCAAAGGGTTTCTTCCTTTTTTTAGTACTATCACCCACTCTGAATAAGCCCACTCTGGTTCTTCTTCTTTCTTAGGTAGAGACTGTGAATTCTCCAAAGTTACAGGATTGATTCAGTAGTGTAAGATCCTTTTCAAGTTCCCTAAAGGATTCTCCCTCTTTTTTGTGACCTCATGTGAAATTGTTATTTCTTGAAAGTCTCATTCTTTTTGGAGTACAGTACAGGCAGTCCTTGACTTGCAACGTTTCGAGTTACAATGTTTTGCACTTACCATGTTTATAAATTGACACCCTGTTTCAACTTTTTGATGTCAGTTTTGACTTTACAATGCTTGATCTGATGCCATGCCATGCCAGCAAACAAGTTCGCTGCATCACTCATCTCCCTGGAGATCATTTGTCCAAACTTCCTTGGACACTTTCTTTAAGAAAGCAGACAAGACTCCAGAAAAACCTGCAGCCAAGACTCCTGAGGAGACTCCAGCCAAGAACCCTTCAAAAAGTCAAACCAAGAGCCCTTCAAAAAGTCCAGCAAAGTTACCTCAAAGAAGTCCTTCCAAATAAATATGATTCCTATTTACAATATAAATAAATTAATGTAGCTATATTACTCATCTATAATTGATTGAGTACAAAATTCTGGGGTATTTTTGGTGGAAATAGGGTATCGGCCCTTGGTTCAGGAACCAATCCTCTATTTATAACATTGTTTCTTATGAGAAAATTGCTTTCGAGTTACAACGTTTTGACTTAAGATGCAGTTCTCAGGAGCCAATTGTGTTGTAAGTCCGAGGACTGCCTGTACTTCTTAAACTTTTTGAGCACTGCCTCATAATCAGCCCACAACTGGCTCAGTTGCAGACTGTTTTATGTATCCAGTGTCCCACCACCCACTATATTCAGAAAAATAGCTACCTTTTGGTCACTTGACTTCTCAGTTCCTCCACTCACCCTCATGTACAGGTGCAATTTTTGATCAAACCTCTTTCAGGTCTATGCTGCATGTCTGGAGAGTTTCAGTTCTGCTGGAGACTGTAGTTGCTTCATTTCATGCCCCCCTCCTCCCCACCCCAAAGCTCACTCCAATGCAATCATGTTTTGTCAACTACTTTTGGTACCACATGGGTTCAGTTCATTGAGTCACTAGCTACTTTAACAAAGAGATTTCCTTATTACTGCCAACAACACCCAGATAGCCATGACACTCCTTTCTCAGCTCTTTTTCCAACTCCATCATCTTGTTAAAGAAACAATCCTCCCAATATTCAAAGCTGAGAATCAGAAACCCTTGAATTCATGTCATGGTGCAAAATGATGCATGGTGGCACAACTAGCTCTGAGCCAGTGCCTAAGGAGTGTAAGCATAAGCTGCTACAAAATCCTGATAGTAGGATAAGCTTTCCCAGTCCACTGTACCTACCATTCTCTTTCCATTCAGTAACTACATTCCATACAAAAACTTGGCTTATCAGGCAGTAGAGAATTCATTGCTGAAATCTTCATCATGAGATGAAGAATGATTTTCATTGACTCTGAAGTATGATAACAATTGGCTACTAATCCATTTCTGTAAATTATTTCATGTAGCAACTAATATTTAAAAATAACTTTAATCCTGGTTTAAGGTACAATATCTTAAGGTTTGAATCAGAAGGTCTGTATCTAAGATAAAGGTCTCATTAGAGAAACCGGACAATACTCTGCAGTTTTCATCCCTATTAAGGCAAGCACTGATGTGCTTGCTCTCCTGAATCAAGAACTGAATGCTGGATACTGTATGCAATCTTCTGGTTTCCATGAAGTATCAGTATATAAATACAAGAATATAACTACTCACATGTGGCCTCAAAATGTGGCAAGGACGTTTGAAACAATGTGGTGCCTATCTTCAAGAAAGGGAGGAAAGTGGATCCAGCTAACTATAGGCCCATCAGCCTGACTTCTATCCCAGGGAAGGTCTTAGAAAAGTTTATTAAAGAGGCCATCCTTAATAGACTGGCAGATGCCAACATCCTGAGGGATAGCCAGCATGGGTTTGTTGCGGGTAGGTGAGTGAGTTCGTGCCGAATTATATAAGGACTGAATTAAGCACAG